CCCCGCCCGCAGCCCAAGCAGCTTCCCGACAAGTGGCAGCACGACCTCTTCGACAGCGGCTTCGGCGGCGGCGCCGGCGTGGAGACCGGGGGCAAGCTGCTGGTGTCCAACCTGGACTTCGGAGTGTCGGACGCCGACATCCAGGTAGGTGGCGCGGGCGGCCGCCGGGCTCTGATCGCCGTTCCGGAGCTGACACGGCGCCCCGGCTCCTGGCCCTTCACCCCAGGCTCCGACCGAAGCTTCTTGGTTCTGTCCCTTCCCACTTGGTCTTTTTTAACTAAAGCCAAAGGCGCGGAAGGTGGTTTTCTGGTTAGACACAACTTGTTGGGAATGAGACTTGGAGTGAGCGGCAGTGCGGGCCTTCCGGGGTCTTCTTCCCCGAGCCCCTCCATCAGGAAGGCCTGGTGGGCACTCACAGTGTCTCCGCACTCGGGAGCAGCCCCACACTCCGGGGTCCCTCTCGCAGCGCCCGGCCTGCCTGAGGTCAGGGCAGCCTCCGTGGCCTGCTTGACTTCAGACTTTGCAACAGGCTTGAGTTGGAGGAGAGGGAAAGGTGAGACAATCTGTCTGGGGGTGAAGGGTGGGGTCCGGCACCAGTATCATCGGGCCCTAACCGCTGCTCCGATCTGCTGGACATCTTCCTCCTTGGCTTTTACTCCTGATCTTTACTGTTTCATCAAGCTGTCCCTAGGCGTTTGCAAGTCTTCCTTTGCTAAGCAGGATGATGACTTCAGTTTTGTGTCCTAGGCCTAGGTTGTGTTCTAGGTTTCTGGGGAGGCACTCGGCCTCTAAACCCCTATGTCCTTGGAAGCGGGCAATTCTGTCCCCGTCCTTCAGCTCCTTTACCGTTTGCCCTGCCCCCTCTTGTTGCCAGGGAAGCACTGCCCCCCACCCCCAGCCCTCATGCTGGTAGGGACTGGCCTAAGGCCACCATAAGGAAAACAGCTTAGCTGCTGTGCTAACGGGCCCCTATCTGACTCCTAGGAACTCTTTGCTGAGTTTGGAACCTTGAAGAAGGCTGCTGTGCACTACGACCGCTCTGGGCGCAGCTTAGGAACAGCAGACGTGCACTTTGAACGCAAGGCAGATGCCCTCAAGGCTATGAAACAGTACAACGGTGTTCCTTTGGATGGTGAGTCGGGGGCTGGGCCCAAGAGCCTGCCGGGCTTGTGGAATTTGGGGCTGGCACCTGTCCCTGTAGGAATATGGGCTGCCCCTCTGGTGGAGGACACTTTGCATTTGCCCCCTTTGTCTCTCTCTTCCATTCTGCCACCTCTCATGCTGCCCCACACATCTGGACCAACCTCTTGTGAACCCCCATCCAGCAAGCTACATCCCTCCCCTCCTTCAGCTCCTTCCGGAAGATTCACTTCTGTGAAGCCTTCTCAGAACCGCCATAGTACACCTGAGTGCGGGGCTGTAGTCGTAAGATAAAGGTACCTGTTCTTCTTCCGCCAGGCCACCCATGAGCACCCCAGACACCTGACCAAACAGCCCTCTTAGCCTGAACTGAGAAGGAGAGACGTGTCGGTGGGGCGTTGTCCTTGCCACTTTGTCTTCCCACCAGGCTCTCCAGGCCATCTCCCCATTGGGGGCATTGGAGACGCACAGAGGCCCTTTCCAGAGCTTGCATGGAGACCAGGGTGTGGGATCTTGGGTCAGCATCAGAGCCTCTGGAATGAGAACTCTTGTATTCTTTGCCACAGGCCGCCCCATGAACATCCAGCTTGTCACATCACAGATCGATACACAGCGGAGACCTGCACAAAGGTGAGTTCTGGGGGCTTTGAGCTGGGCCGTGATGCTGGTCATCCTTCCCCTGGTGTCTCTCCTAGCTAAACCAGCGAGTTCTTGTGTTCTCACCAGCATAAACAGAGGTGGCATGACTAGAAGCCGTGGCGCTGGGGGATTTGGCAGTGGCGGCGGCACGCGAAGAGGGACCCGTGGAGGCAGTAGGGGAAGAGGCAGAGGCACGGGCAGGAACTCAAAGCAGCAGCTATCAGCAGAGGAGCTGGACGCACAGCTGGATGCCTATAACGCCAGGGTGAGTCCCGAGGAGACCGCCGCAGCCAGGGTGGGACAGTGCGCGGCCCGGGCCCCGTAGAGCCGGAAGCACCAGCACCTCCTGAGTGAAGCTTCCCTTCTGTTTCAGATGGACACCAGTTAAGCAGCAAGCCTCGCCGGCAACAGGACCCGCGCTGCGTCCACCCTCCTGGGAGGGGAGGGGCAGCTGGGCTGGGCGGCCAATGGATTCATTTCTTTTGTTTTAAAATAGGATTTAAAACTCATGTAAAGCCCCCTCCCCTTCTTTCTTTTTTCTTTCTTTTTTTTTTTTTAAATTCTGAAACAGACCTGTTTTGTACCGAGTTATTTTTGGGATAAATTTTACTGGTTGCTGATGTGGGGAAGGTGGCGTTTTCACCTTTGCCATAATAAAATAGAGATGTGTGTAGAACAGAGCAGTCTGCCTGGTTCGTCCCCTTGCGGATCGCTGTTACTTTCTTCTCCCCCCACTGTTCAAACTTACTCTCCGCAGGTGTGTGGGGATAACTGAGCACATGGCCTCGGCCTGGAGCTGCCTGTCCATCCTCCACCCTTCACCTTGGGGCGAAGGGAGGGAGTGGGGCGCAACAGGCCGTTCGTTTCTCCATTTCCCATGACCCTATGTTCCTGGGCTGTTCATTTTACGCTTCATACCTGGTCTCACAGAAGCCTGGATTGGACATTTCAGACTCACAGTGCTATCCCTTAACTGTGGTGGTTCTTCAGTGTCCTGGACCATGTTGGTTCTGGAACCGACAATCCTTCATGTAAAATGACAAGAATGCACATCCTGTGATGCTTTACTTTTCTGTTAGTTTACATGTACGTTTGTGTGTGTGTGTGTGTCTGTGTGTCAGTCTTGTCTGTCTGTACACCCTGGGGCTTGAACTCAGCTTTTATCCTTAAGCTTTTATACTCAAGGGCAGCATTCCACCATCTGTGCTACAACTCCAGATTTTGGTTGTGGGTGGTTAGAGATAGAGCTGCAGATTTGCCGGGGCTGACTTCAAACTAGATCCTGAGATCTAAGTAGCTAGGATTCAGTGCCACCAGCATCCAGCTTCTCTAACAGGATTTTGCTTTTTTAAAAAATATATATATACTAGGGCGGCCTAGACCATGATTTTATCCATATTTTCCACATAGCTAGAGGGACAGGTACATACTGCCATATTGCCTGGGTTCTTGCTGGTCCACTTGAGATTTTGTAGACATCTTGCCCAGACTGGCCTTGGAACTTCTTGCTATCTCTTAATCCTGAGTAGCTAAGATTATGGCATAATCCTAAGTAATACTGGTTATTTAAAGTACTTAATAAAAAACATGGGCTGGGTGCTGGTGGCTCACATCTATAATCGACTACTCAAAAAGGCTTCGATCTGAGGATCATGGTGTCAAGTCAGCCCAGGCAGGGAAGTCTGTAAGACTCACATCCAATTAATCACAGAAAAAAGCTGGAATTGGGATGCTGTGGCTTGAGTGGTAAAGTGCTAGCCTTGAGCAAAAGGAGCTCAGGGACAGAGCCCTGGCCCAGAGTCCAAGCCAGAGGACAGGCACCAAATAAAAATAAATGTAAGTGGTTACATTGTATTGCATAGGGAATAATGACTGAGTCACTGATTGACTGCAAGGAGAGCTAGCTGAACTTGGTCAAAAAATAACTAGTAGAAGAACATAGCCAGGCCAGGGGTGATAGTGGGTGCCTATACCCTTGTAAGAAAAGACGGCAGGTTTTATTTGAAGGAAAGCCTGGCATGGACCGTGAAGTCTACAGCTGAGTTGAAGAGGAGACGGTACGCCTCCTTTATAACTAGGGTCCCTTTAAATATTGGGCAGAAAAAGTAAAGTTGGGCACAAAGGGGGGCACGGTGGGAAAGCAATGAGTGTTTTAGGGTCTCAACAGCATCTGTTTGTCAGGGGCATCAGATGTGCCCCTGGGCACAGGTTCTTCCAGAGCCACCGAATGTGTCTGGGGGGCAGGACAGTTGTAACACAGTGGGGGCCCTGGTTTCCATCACACTTCTTCCGGAAGGCTAAGGCAGAGAGCTCCAGCAAAGACCACCCAAGACACAATCTAGAAGGCTGAGATCTGAGAAGGATTGTGGTTCAAAGCCAGACCAGGCAAGAAGGTCCAGAGATTGATCTCGCATTAACCAGCAAAAGGCCCCAAGTGGTAGAACCCCAACTTTGAACCTCCCGAGTTCAAAGCACCCGCTCACACAAGACTGTCTTACAAAAAGAATCTGATGTCAATTCAAAAAGCAGTGCAGGACTGGGAAGGTGGCTCAGTGGTAGAGCGCTTATCTTGCATGCCTGAGGCCCTGGGTTCCATTCCTCAGCACCACATAAGCAGAAAAAGCCGGAAGTGGTGCTGTGGCTCAAGTGGTAGAGGGCTAGCCTTGAGCTGGAGAGCTGAGGACAGCGCCCAGGCCCAGAGTTCAGGCCCCACAACCTACAAAAAAAGTGCAGAGCCAGAAGAGACAGCCTTCTACACCTGTTGGGGCTCCGGCAGGGAGCCGGCTCCCCAGCCTGCCCTCGACTCTGCGGCCTGCCAGCAGAGGCCTGAGGCAGGAGAGCCCCTGCGCTGCTGAAGCTCCTGAGGCTGTTTGTGGGTCCCGGGCCACGTGAGGGCAGCTCTGCAGGGCCAGCCTTGTCTGCGCGGCCTGTGCACGGGCAGGAACATCACAAGGCAGGAAGATGGATGGAGGTGACTGAGTGGACCTGACACTTTGGTCCGCTGGCTGGTGCTCTACCAGCTGAGCCACGCCTCCACCCCCTCACCTAAGGAGCTTAGTCCAGTAAGGGAAAGGGTTACCATGCATCTACTTGAGTTGCTGTGACTATGGATGAGAGGCAGAAGTCAATCAGTGCCAGGCGGGCCCTGAGGAGGTGGCGTGGCTGAGTGTTGGGGCTGGCCGGGCACATCATGCTGGCAGGCAGCCTGGGAAGCCGCAGGACCGACCTCTTGGGCTTGGGAGTGATGTGCACCAGCACCAGTGGCCACCTGTGCTGGGCACAGTGCTGGGCCCTGGTGGCTTGGCAGTAGGTGGTATCTCGCCAGAGGCACAAGCAACCTGGGGAGCTAGCAGGGCACAAGGAAGGCTTGTGAGACATGGCTTCAGTGGGTGGGTGGTCCTGAGAAGGAACAACCTAACACGATGCTCACTGCCGAGGCCAGACACGGGAGGCCAGGCAGGAGCGGCCCGGGGTCCGAGACAGGGCTGAAGGAGTTGGTGGGAAAGAGGACCTCGCAGCACAAAGCCGGGTGCATGCCAGGAGACACCAGTGCCGAGGTTAGATCCAGGGCGAGCCGAGGCGGCTGCATAGCCTCCCTCCCTTCCTTTGGCCAGAGGACCATTTCTTACTCTTACGGTCATTCCGGGGAAGTGTGGGGGAAGAGGAGAGGTGCACGTGTGCTGATGCAGCTGGAACCAACGGTGTGTGTGCGGGGCCCAGGCCGGGGCCGGGCGAGGAGTCACAGGCCAGCACTGCTTTTCCCAAAGAACGTGAAGTGGGTGGAAGGATGGAGGGAGACCTGGCAGCCAGCATGCTTTTCTCTCCTACGATTCTTGTTCAGAGCCTGAGCAGCATGTGTTTGGCAGGCTGGCTTGTACGCTTCAGGCACCTGGGGAAACCCAGAACCTGTAGAGTTCGTGGTGCCCAAGAGGAGACTGAGCATGTGGCTCCTGAGTGAGGGGTAGACTTCAGGGCTTTCAAACAGGCCACGAGAAAGGAAGAAACAGCCCGCACCAGTGGCTCACGCCTGTCATCCTAGCTACTCAGAAAGCTGAGATCTGAGGACCGCAGTTCAAAACCAGCTCAGGCAGGAAAGTCTGTGAGACTCTTATCTCCAATAAAGAAAACTGGAAGTGGTGCTGCGGCTCAAGCAGTACAGCACTTGCCTTGAGCTGAAGAGCGCAAGGACAGTTCCCAAGCCCAGAGTTCAAGAATAAAGAAAAGAAAGGAAGAAACAGGCCTTCCCCAGGCCTTCTCCTGGGCTGATGGTCTCCCTGGGCAGCTGCTCGCAGCGTCAGCTGAAAACTTTTGGCTGTAGCTGGAGAACCTTGGCTTTTGTTGAGTGTGGACAAAGATCCACGCTGGATGAGGAGGGGCCTCAGGTCAGCATGGCCTCTGGGACTGGACACAGACTCACACCACCCTCAAAGGCTTTGGGATTCAGCATGGGAAGCAAAGTCCGTGAAACTCTTTTGTTGTTGTTGTTGCTGGTTGTGGGGCTTGAACTCTGGGCTTGAACTCAGCTCTTCAGCTCAAGGCTAGTGCTCTACCACTAGAGCCACAGTACCACTTCTGGCTTTTTCTGTTTATGTGGTGCTGAGGAATTGAACCCTGAGCCTCAAGCATGCAAGGCAAGCACTCTACCACTGAGCCACCTTCCCAGGCACTCTCCCCTCCCCCCTCTGGTGAAACTCTTATCTCCAATAAACCAATAAACCACCAGAACTCTGGAAGTGGTGTTGTGGCTCAAAGTGGTAGAGTGCTCACCTTGAGCAAATACGAGCTCAGGGACAGCTCAGGCCCTAAATTCAAGTCCCATAACCCCCCCCCAAAAAAAGTGTACCGACAATGAGAATTGTTTGACACATCAGTAAGTTTTTTGGGGGGAGTCCAGTCGTGGGGCCTGAACTCTGGGCCTGGGCGCTGTCTCTCAGCTCTTCAGCTCAAGGCTAACGCTCTACCACTTGAGCCACAGCGCCGCTTCCAGCTTTTTTCTTTTTGCTTATGTGGTGCTGAGGAATCCAACCCAGGGCCTCAGGCATGCAAGGCAAGCGCTCTACCACTGAGCCACCTTCCCAGACCAACATCAGTCAGTTTTGCTCTTTACCAAGCTCTAAAAGTGTACCAGAAGGGACACAAAAATGAGCAGTCCTAATGTAGGGCTCATCAGCAGTGTAAGGGAAGTGTGCAAGCAGAAACAGACCCAGAGTTTCTCTCCATACAATCACCATGTGCCTGTTCACAGCCTGGTTTATGTCTACTAAATAAGGTCTACTCTATGCGAGTCTATGATCCTCCCAGGAATCCAGCCAAGAAAAGGAATGCAAAAACAATAAACCTTATTTACTCACCTAACACAAGTCTGAGTGCTTGCTGAGCACCCGGCATAGTTTTCCAGCACCTTGGGAAATAGAGA